TGTGATCCTTGATGATGTCAACCCAGTAACTGGAGAGCCTTCTAGTGACATCTACGTGAAGAGGTCTGATGGGAGCCAGCAGGGGACCACGTCCTGGCTGTCAGGCTCCCAGCCCTGCCCTGTGCCTTCCACTGCCTCCTCTGAACCTCTGCTCCTTCCTGCCCCCACCCTGACTGCTGTACCCCACAGATAGCGGTCACTTGATCCAATTTCACTCTTTGACCCTTTCCTGCTATCTTACAGGGTTCAGATCTTCCATCTTTCTGCTTTGTCTTACGGGCAGGGTGAGAAGGGGTATGAGATAACTGAGCTTCTCCTGCAGCTGGATAAAGGGACTCGACCACGACAAGCAGGAGACAGATGTTCACTTTAACTCCCTGACTGGGGAGGGCAATTTCAACTGGAGGTTCATCTTCCGCTTCAACTATCTCCCGACTGAGAAGGAGATCACCTACAAGAAGAAGGACTCTGTCTTCTCTGTGGAGGAATCAGAATTTCGGGAACCAGCTGTTCTAGTCCTCCAAGTCTGGGATTATGATAGGATTTCAGCTAATGACTTTCTAGGTACGGCACGGTCTGCTGGGAGTGGGGTGGCTGACCCTCACCTTGCTGAAGCATTCCAGCATTTCCCTTGGGGTCCTGCTCTCCAAAAAAGAACACCAGTAGCACCAGATCAAACCCTTCAGCTCAGCAGTCACCTGGGCTGGCTTTTGACAAGTGTGAGTGATAGTCAGAGCCCTGTGGTTCATACCTGCCCTGCAGAGACACACTGAGCTGGTGTGCCCAGCAAATGTTTTGTACCCCCGTGAGACGTTTGCAGCGGTGATTGCTTCAGTAGTGCTATTTGGGCACCGATGAAAGTGTTAGACAGCAATTTCAGTGCTTCCCAGCAAGCACAGTCTCAGGAACTTTCAGGTAGGAAAGGGTCCCTTCAGTTTTTTCTGCAGCCTCCTATTCCAAACAGGTCTAGTGGCAATCCAGGTTGCTCGGGATTGGGAATTTAGGGTATCTCCAAGGATGGAGATTCCAGCATCCCTCTGGGCCCCTTTCCTAGGCTGCACCACTCTTATCATCCTCAAATTGTTCTGCTTGTGTCTAGTTAGTGTTTGTACTGCTGCAGCTTGTGTCCATTGCCTGACATGCTTTACTGAGTTGACAACTTTGGCATGTTGGAAATCCAAAACTGGACATGGTAGACATGGCAGACACACTTTCACCACAGCTGAGCAGAGGGGAATTTTCACAGAATTAGAGAATCACAGGGGTTGAAAGGGACCTCAAGGGATCGTTGAGTCCAACCTCCCTACTAAAGCAGGTACCTTACAATAGGTCACACAGGTAGGTGTCCAGACAGATCTTGAATATCTCCCTGGAAGGAGACTTCACAGCCTCTCTGGGCAACCTGTTCCAGTGCTCCATCACCCTTACCATAAAGAAGTTCTTCTGCATGTTAGTTTGGAACTTCGTGAGTTCGAGTTTTAGGCCATTACTCCTTGTCCTCTTGCTGTACACCACTGAGAAGAGCCTGGCCTCATCCATTTGCCTCCCACTTCTTTTTAGATATTCAAAAACATTGATCAGATCCCCCCTCGGTGTTCCTTGCCCCAGGCTGAACAGACCCAGGTTACTCAGCCTTTTCTCATTCAGGAGATGCTCCAGGCCCTTTATCATACTTGTGGTCCTCCACCAGACTCCTTCTAGAAGATCCCTGTCTTGTTTTTACTGGGGAGCCCAGAACTGGACACAGTAATCTAAATGTGGCTTCACCAGGGCAGAGCAGAGGGGGAAGATCACCTCCCTCAGCCTTCTGGCCACACTCTTTTTAGTACACCATTTAATATACCAGTGGCCTTCTTGGCCACGAGGGCACACTGCTGGCTCATGGCCAACCTATTGGTTACCAGGACCCCCAGGTCCTTCTCTGCAGAGCTCCTCTCCAGCAGGTCGTGCCCCAACCTATACTGATGCATGCAGTTATTCCTCCCCAGGTGCAAGGCTCCATGCTAGCACTTGTTAAACCTCATCAGGTTCCTCCCTGCCCAGTTCTGCAGTCTGTTTGGTCTTGTTGAATGACACAGCACAGCCTTCGTTGATGGCCATGCTTTGGCCAGTACAGCCCAGTGTGTGATAAGACTGGTCTGCTGCAAGGGCCCAGTGCCTAAGTGGGACGGGAGCCCCTTCCAAGGAGGATAGGGATGGAAGGTGAAGCAGGGGAGTGAGCTGAGGCTATTTCAGATGTAAGTTTCAGATGTTTTCAGATGTAAGTCAAGGATGAAACTCTCAATAAGTTTTGCAGATTTTATAATTCCTTATTCATGTTTTCAGGAACAAGGAGAGGAAAAAGAGCTTGTGCACGTGAGGAGAGCAGGGGGGATGTGGCACTGTTTTCACAATAACACACATGCAGGCCAGATTGGCCACATCAGACAGTAAGGAGACAGGAACTGCATCTTCTGCCTCTCTAACTCTTGGGCTGGTCTTTTCTTGGGCTGAGTTTCAGGTTCCCCACCTGTAAATGCACATTACTCTGTTAGATCATTGCGGCAGCTGGAATGGGCTGGTGCTGGTGGGTGCATGGCTGAGACACCAGCTGGAGCGTGGGGCTCACCTTGGAGTTTCATCACGGGCTATCCTTGTGCCTGCAGGCTCCATTGAGCTGAAGCTGCACGACATGGTGCGGGCAGCCAAGAGCTCAGAGCATTGCACCATCAAGATGGCAAAGGAGAACGCTGCGCCTCGCTTCTCCATCTTCCGCAACAAGCGCATGAGGGGCTGGTGGCCCTTCATCAAACTCAAAGATCAAGAAGATGAGGAGAGAGAGGAGAGGGAGGCCAAGCACAAGAAGAAGAAAAAGAAGAAGTGGAGCAGCTCAGTGAAACCAGAAGACGTTGAGTTCACAGACCCCAGTGGGAACAAGTACTTCCTAACAGTAAGGCAGGGCGCTGGTGGGAGGGAGTGGAGAGTTGGTAATATGCCTTTGCTGGAACGAGGCAACCTGTCCTGCATACACATAACCTGCAGAGGCAGCAGTGACCCATCCGCACACAACTTTGTGCAGGGTCCAAATACCCAGTCCTGGCAAGTACGTGGCTAGCGGCTGCTCTGTGAAGCAGCGCGCTCAGCCGTGACGCTGTTATGTTCCCCCTCCAGGGTAAAGTAGAGGCAGAGTTCCAGCTGCTGACCGTGGAGGAGGCTGAGAAGAATCCTGTTGGTTTGGGCCGAAAAGAGCCTGAACCCCTGGAAAAGCCCAAGTGAGTATCTGTATTCATCGCTTTACAGCAAATGTCTGGTAGCTCTCTTTTTGGTGGCTGTTTACGTGGGAAGAGGGAGAATCCACTTCTCAGGGAGGTCAGAGCAATTGAGGAGCAAGGTGAGGGTGTCTGAAGAACTGCTGCTGCCGGAGCAGGACAGGGCAGTTTCGTTTCATTTCTTCATGTTCCAGCCGGCCAAAAACTTCTTTCAACTGGTTTGTGAATCCCATGAAGACCTTTGTGTTCTTCATCTGGAAGCGGTACAAGAAGTACATCATTGTGCTGTTTGTGGTTGCCCTTCTGACGGTCTTCTTGGTTCTGCTGATCTACACTATGCCTGGATACATTAGTGAGAAGATCATCAATGGATAAGTGCTCTGCAGAGCAGGACTACACAGAAACAGGGGTGATTATTGCAGTAAATGAGGTCACACCAGGAAGTTTAAGGAAACCCTACAAATGCATGGGCAATCTGGAGAGTGAGAGGCCAGGCCCTCTTTGGAGAGTCATGTCTCTTGCTAAATAGCCATGGGATGCTAAAGAATCAAGTATTCAACCTACTAAATTGGAGCAGGCTGCCCAGGAAAGTGTGGAGTCACTGTGCACTCATGTTTTCAAGAAGAGTTTAGATGCGGCTCTGAGGAATGTGGTTTAGTGGGCATGGTGGGGATTGGCTGGGGTTGGACTAGATGATCTTTGTGGTCTTTTCTAGCCTTAATGATTCTGTGATTCTAAATAAAGCAAACTCCTTCAAAGACAGTTACAGCTGCGGGAAAAAGTAGTTCTTTGTTAACTGGGTGGGATGGAGGGGAAGGATCACAACTGCAGACATGGCAGCAGGAGCCAGCTCTTGCCATTGAGAGGTTGTTCTGGAAGGGATGGGAACCTATAGAGCTGTCCGTGTCCTATCTGGATAGTAGCTGGCACTTCCCAGGTCTTCTCCTGCCTGAAGAATTCAGAGCACATTGTGTGGGAGAGGGCAGGTCTGGTGCTGGGACCCAGTGGCGGTGGGACCAGGATGTGTACGGGCTTCCCAGAGTGCTGCTGCAGCTGGAGGGTGGAGGAGAGGAGAATGGTGATAGAGCCAAGGTAACTGTGTGCTTCCTGATGCTCCAAGAGCATGGGAGCAGTAGGGCAGCTCTGGATGTGGTAGCACTCAATGCAGTCTTCGTAAGCTACTAACAGCATTTCTTGCATGTGCAGGGCTGGATATCAGGCTTGCTTAACTTCATTTTGGATCTTCATTTCTACTGGAATAGAATCACAGAATCACAGAGCAGTTTGAGTTGGAAGGAACCTTGAAGACCCTCTGGTTCCAGCTCAATTCCTATAAAATCTCCCTGGCTGCTCTCTCTGACATCCCTGGGGATTCCTCGCTGCTCCTGGAACAGGCCACTCTGCTGCAGGCAGCCCTCCCCAGTGCACCTCTGCCCTTCTTCTGGGTAGCACAGAGCTGGGATGTCAGCATGGGGCCATCAGCATGCATCTGCATCATGGTGTTGGACTGATGTAAATTTCAATCTGCTTCAGCAGACAGGTTCTCAGTGCGGGCTCCAGTGCCCCAGGGTTTCTGTTGTCTGCACAAATGCTGCTGAGACAAGATCATGACTGGATTGCAAGTCAAAGTGCACCAATGGGAGGTTTGGTGGGAAGGGTTGTCTGCATTGCAGGAGATGATGCTCAGAGTGGCATTGTCAGTGAAACTAGATGGCGGTGGGGTAGGGTTAGCTCCAGAATGGCAAAGGGAGCAGCCTCTTCCCACCCCTGCAGATCCCTGGGCTAGCAGGGTGCAAGGGGTCCAACTCACACTGCACCACTGCTCCTCGTGCAGCCTCAGCCCAGTCTCAGCAGGGACTGCACACTGCCATATGGGTGGCACCCGACGCACCCCAGGATGCACGGTGCATCCCAGCACACTCTGTATGACATTGGTGCCTGCTTTACCCAGCACACGTGGTGCACACCAGCAGCATGCTCCAGCAGTTACCAGTTCACTCTGTACATCTGATGCATCCCAGCAGTGCCCGGGCCACCCAGTGCACCCCAGCACATCACATGCACACCCCCAGGCAGCACCTCGGCTCTTACAACCACTTCAGCTGCACTCTCCCCTGCCCCCCCAGGCTGAGGCTCCCCATAACCCAGCAGGAAGAAGCATCTGCCTCAGCCTTCCTAAAAGCGTTTTGGCTCAGGATCACAGGATTTGCAGCTGTGCCTCTCTGTGCGTGCAGTGGTGTGCAAGGTGAGGGGCTCCCACTGGCTGCAGCATGCCCCCACCCCCTCCCTGTCCCCCTGCCCAGCCCCAAAGCGCCTGCAGTTCCCCTTTCTGTCTCAGTCTCTCTGCAGCACCATGGCAGCACCCATCTCGGTGTGTGACTTCGTGCAGCAGGTGCAGGAGGACCTCAGCTCACCCACCACCTCCACCTTCACCAGCCACATGGCCCGCTGTAAGGCCACTGCCGGCAGCATGGAGGAGGTGAGCGGGGCATGGGGCGGGGATTGGCACCCCAGGGGCGGCCATCTCCCTGGCAGTCCTGTGGGATCTGCACTCATACGGGTGTCACTGTGGTGGTTCTTATTGTGTGGTGCTGGTGTGTGGTGCAGAGTGCCCAAAGCAAAGGTTTGGGTGTGCTGAGTGGGTGATGGGTATCGGCGGGTGGGGGCAGACACAAAGTGCGGGCTGTGGGAGGGCTGCATCTCATGCCTGGCTCATGGTGAAGGAGATTTGGCCCATGAAACGTCGCCCTAAAAGCGAACAGAGGTAAGAGCAGTGCTTGGAGTGGTGGGAGGGTTACCTCGCTTGCCCAAAGTTGAATTGTGTGATACACCAACTAGGAACTTTGGCAGCCGAACACATGGGCAGTTCAAAAAATCCACAGAGAAGGGATCAGAGCCAACTACTGAGTCAGCTCCCAATTCAAAGCCCCCTGGGGCCAGATGCCTTTGCTTCCTGACCCTGGCACACAGCAGCAGGTGCCACGTGGAGGGGAAGCAGCTCTGGGAAACCCATGGGCAAGGGCAGGAGTGGCTCTCATGACTTTGCAGTTCCAGCAGACACGGGGATGGTGCCCTGGGCTTTGCTGGGGTCTGTCTGTGGGCTGTGAGCACTGCACTGCCACAAAGCCCCCCAGCACCTGGGGTCTGCCATCTCTGCCCAAAGACGGGGCAGCCCCTCTGCTCCCACTGTCTGCAGTGGTCTCTGAGGCTTTTCTGTCAGCATTCTGCAGGACAGAATGTGCTCAGGAGCCCGGGGCATGGGGCAATTTCCTTGTGTTGCTTAATTTGTGACTGTTACTCCATTATACCTACCCAAAACAAAACTCAAAACTCCACTCCTTTAAAACAGAGCTGCTTACATCAGGAAGCTGTGGTTAGAAAAAATGTACGCTGCAAAAATTGTTCCTTTCTGCAGAACCTTTGGCTTGGGACTCGTGACAGAGTGAACAGAAATGGCAGAGCATGGCTCTCACTGCAGGGTGACAGCAAGCAGGCTCTGCAGTGACAGGGCAAGAGCAGGCATGAGCTGGGCTGCAGTGGGACTTTATCTCCTCTTTGGCACTGCAGCCCTGGAGTGGCAATGGGACTTTCCAATGAGTGGAAAGCCAAAAAATAATGCTGAAGGGCGTCCATTGCTGCCAGCACTCCTCAGGATCAGCCCTGGGACCAGCACTGCTCCATCCATCCCTCATGGGGCCCTGTCCCCAAGCTGAAAAAAGGGGAATTTGGTGTGTCATGTGAACTGCCAGTGTGCGTGGCCAAAAGGTGAATTGAATGCTCTGTCTCTGTCCTCATCAGACCCAGTGAGGCTCTTTCTGGAGCCCACTCAGTCCCACAGGGGCTCCAGTCTCATACGAGGCTGTCCTGCAAGTGTGTGAAAGTCACGACTGTGGATGGGTGGTCACTCTCAAACTGGGCCTTCCTCGTGAGAAGGATGTGAGCATAAGGACAGAGCTGAAGGGATTGCAGCCACAGGGTTTGGGGCCCTGGTCTCACTTTGGAAAAGCAGAATTGCCCCCTTTTGTGGTTCCTGAAATGCTTCAGTGAGCAGCTGTTACCAGGGATGTGGGGAAAGTTGTACAGCAAAGCCCTGGTGTGCAACTTGCTGTTGGATGCATGCTGCTGGGATCAGCCCCAGCACAGCATAAAGCAGCACATGCAGCACGGTGGGCACGCAATGAAGTCACACAGCTGAGCCCAGAACACAACCAGAGCTCTGCCTTCAAGGAGAATGAATGAACACGGGTGACAGTGCAGGCAGGGAAGGGAGCTGGGGTTTCCTGCGCCAAGCACCAGGTCTGTAATCTCTGCCTCGTGGTTGGCAACATATCCACGTGCGTGTCAGACAGTGCACAGGTCTTTGGAGGCAGTGCTGCCTCTTGGAGCTGGGCACACAGAATGGTGGGAACCCAGGGGTGGAGGCAGCTTTGGCGATGGCCGTGGGGATGTCACATCCCCATCTTATGCTGGAGCTGCTCCTCCAAAGCTTCCAATTTAATGCACTCTGGATAATTCAGTGTTTATGGTGAAGAGCCTCAGTTGCCACAGTCCTGGCTGTGTTGATCCCCACAGAACCAGACAAACACCCTCTTCTGCTGCAGTGTTTTGGCTGATGCAGTTCACAACAAGCACAAGGCCAGCAGTGGTATCAGCCCCTCCTGTTGCTGAACAGCCCTTCTTCTGAAATACTTTCCAATTCTCTCCTAGAGCTTGGTCACTTCTTCCAGAAGGCCATCAGGAAAGCTTGCTGTTATTTAAGATTCTCACAGACTGCTGCCATTTAGACCATCACCTACCTGATGGCAGAACAGTCTGGCTTGGGGATGTTGAGGCTTGGGCTGAGCTCTGCAGGTTACAGAAATGTGCCTAAGGGTGCTGTCAGTGATAACCTCTGCATTTCTAGGCCTTGGATGCAGACCGAGCTGTGCTGCAGAAGATGAGAAAAGCTGCCAAGGCAGAGCATGGCTGTGCACAAGGTCAGGACGGGATGGGGCCTGGGGAGGGAGAGGCAGCAATGGAAGGTCAAGGGGAGTCCTTGCTACATATTGGGTTGATTGCAGCAGGGAATCTGTGTCCTAGGAGTTTTTATAGCAGGGTGGGGGGTGTGCAGCGGGCTCCAGTGCTAGAGCAGAGCTGGGCTCCTGGCAGTGAGTTTATCCTGTCTGTCCCCTTGCACTCTCTGGAGACCACCCGTGTTCCTCAGACCTCATCAGCCACCTCGCAGCCCACGTTGCTGCCCAGGAGTTGTTCTCAGCCAACTACCAGCTGGAGGGAGAGCAGCAGCTGGCTAATGCCTTCAGCACCTTCGCGGCCTTCTCCCAGGAGCTGCTGATTGCCATCAGGAGCCTGGTAGGCAGCCCCATCCCCTGTGCATCCCCTGCAGGCCCCTGGGTCACAGTGGGGTGGGCGGTCCCCAGGAACGGGCTTTGGTGCATAGCTGGAGGTCCAAGCTCAGCCCTTTCCTGGACCAAGGCAGGAGCAGTGGCAGAAGCAGTGATGCAGATAGGTTGAGGCTGAAGACAACGGCCACATCAGACTTGGCGTCTGCAGCATGAGGAGGATGGATGCCCCCATCCCATGCACATTATGCCAGCAGGGAAATGGGTGATCCCAGGAATCCTGTCCTTGTGCCTGAGCGAGGTTGTAGTGATAGCAGGGCCAAGGAGCCATTCCTGCACCATTTTCCAGAGGCTCATTATGAGTTGGGATACCTCTCAAGCTCTACAGAAACATCTGCAAGACTTTTCAGGGGACACAAAACTGCTGTGGGTACATTTGCCTAAATCTGGCCCTTCTCTCGTGCTGAAACAACAAGGGGTTAGGAAGGATCTGGGAGAGCCTTGGGGCTCACAGAAGATCTGGCTGCAAGGGCACAACAGTCTCCAGTCCAGTGCCCTGCTTGTAGCCACAACCCTACCATTGGCTCAGGCTGGCTGTGGCTTTTTCTAGCTTGCTCATCTCCAAGGTTGGAGGCTCCCAGCTGCCTGTTTTCTAAGAGGTTCCTTCTGTTGGTTTATGAGCAGCTGCTGAAGCACAGTGGACCTGATAACACCTTTTGGTGGCTTGGGTGTAGGCATTAGCAGGAAGAAAGAGCTCTGTTGCAAACAGTTCTTGATCCCCAGACACTTTTCCTGCCCTGCATTTCCCCATTCCTTGCTCAGCACCAGCAAAAGCTTCTCTCCCTCATGCAGGGCCAGGAGTGGAATATTTCCACTCAATTTCCAGGAGCTCTCATGCTATCCTGACCACTGTGGGTGATGCCAGCTACTTGATCTCTCTCTTTCCTTTCCAGTTGCAGAGTTTGGACCACAACATTAATTTTTCCCTGGAGTCCTTGATAAAGGGAGACATGAAAGAGATCAAAGGGGTGAGCAAAGCTGATGGGGCTGTGGGGCTGGTGCTGAGCACAGAGCAGAGAAGTGCTTCTTCTGTGGGAAAGCAGTTCTTCTTTTAGAGTTTTACACTTGTCTGAGATAGTATTTTTCCTGATTTAGGCAGCCCTAAATTGGCTGCTGGTGCTCAATAGGAGCATGAATATGGAAAGAGAGAAAAAATTCTGGAACTTCTTAGCATATAGTAAGGTGGCGAAAGAATACAAAATGTGAAGAAAATACATCTGCATTTTGCATTAAGGGCAATGTCAAGAAGATTGGGGACCCAGAAAATCAGTTAGAAAGAGAGGGAAAAAACAGCTGCTGGCAATGAGCTGTGATTAAGCAGAATGCATTTTTAATGGGGTCCAACAGGGATCACAGCCTGACCTGAATCTGTTTGACATCTTCATGAGAATGAAGATAAATGCAAGATCTGTTCTGACAAGGTTCTGCCTTGACGCAATAAAGCAATTTTACTGCAAGGGACACAGAAGCACTGGGACCCAGAGAGGCCATGGGATTTCTAACCATGGGAGTTTTTGACATCTGCCTGGACAAACTTGGTACTGGTTCAGTGCTGCCCCTGCCTGGAGCAGGAGGTTGGGATGGATACCTCCAGGAGCCCCCTCCAACCAGATTTACCTTGTCTTTCTGTGAGACAGAGGTCTGTAGAGCAGTAAGCAGTGAGAATGGAGCAGAACATTGGTGTTCTGTGCAAATGATTTTGATGGTCAAATGCAGGTGTATATGGTAAGATTATGGGGAGAAGATAAAGTCACCCAAAGTCAGATGGGAAAAGAATAATGGCCTTGTAGAAGTAAAAACAGTCCTCTATTACATGAGTACCCAGGGACAGCCATGTTCTGGAGCTGTGATGGCCTTGCTGGTTGGACTGGAAGAACTTGCTGGTCTTTTCCAACCTTGGTGACTCTGTGATAGTATGACTCGAGGGTGACCCTGTGGGAAAGTGGTATGATGAGGCTGAGGAAGGGTCAGTCTTGGTCATAATCATCAGTCACTGTGCCTTTGGCTCTTCCTAGGAGTTCAAGAAGCCCCTTGAGAAGGCCTACAAAGACTATGAGAGCAAACTGTAAGTTGTCTGGCTCCCTCACCCTGAAACCTGGGTCTGGGGGCTCTTTTCTGGCTGCCTCCAGCAGACGTCAGTCGGTTGGAGCCTTTCAGGTGTCTGTCCTCTCTCCTTGAGCACAAAGATAGAGAAGGAGAAGCGTGAGCTGGCGAAGCAGCACGGCATGGTGAGGGGTGAGGTGAGCGGGGGGGAGATCGCCGAGGAGATGGAGAAGGAGCGCAGGAGCTTCCAGTTAAACATGTGTGAGGTAAGGACAGGGCAGGCGGCATCAGCCAGGTCATGGCATGGGCCCCACACATCTGCCCAGCTCCTTCCTGTCCCAGCCCTTTGAGGTCTGCCTGGCCAGAGAGCTGCCTGCATTGCAGTAGACCCAATTTGGGATAGGAGCTCAAAGAGTTGGATGAAGAATGTACTCTACTAACCTGGCATTAGAGATACAGTTGCACCCATTATGAGTCCAGCATTCCATTTGCCAGACCAAAGCGCTGGCGTTCATGGGCTCTGCCTGCCACCAACTTCTCACCCTATAAAAGCCACGCGAGCTGCTACCATTATGGCACGACCGACATAAGAACCACAACACACTGCTCTTCACTGTTAACGGGAGGGAGGACAACATGAAAAAAAGTGCGTAAGTGACATTTTTCCCAAAGCTGCACCTTCAGTTCCTGTGTCCTTTTCCCTTCAGTATCTAATCAAAGTGAATGAGATCAAAACCAAGAAAGGGATCGACCTGCTGCAAAACCACATCAAGCACTGCAACACACAGTTCAAGTAAGATGACTGGCAACCTGCCTTCACTGCCCTTCACTCCACAAGTGCTGGTTTTAGAGGCAGTCTGGGAGTGGTTTAATTTGCAGGACCTAGAGATCTTGCAGCTTACTTGGCCTGTAGTCTAATATGACAAAAATCTTCTCCTGGAGGTAATGGAGCCGAGGATCTCAGTGGAGTGTATTATCTGGTAAAGGTTCTGGAGCACAAGTCCTGTGAGGAACGGCTGAGGGAGTTGGCATTATTTAGTGTGGAGAAGAAGAGGCTCAGGGGAGACCTTATTGCTCTCTACAGCTACCTGAAAGGAGGTTGGGTGGGGTGGGGGTCAGCCTCTGCTCCTAGGTAACAGTGACAGGACAAGGGACAATGACCTTAAGTTGTGCCAGGAGAGGTTCAGGTTGGGGAAAATTTGTTCTCTGAAATAGTGGTGATGCATTGGCACAGGGAGGTGTTGGTGTCACCATCCCTGGAGGTCTTCAAGATGGAGATGTGGCATTTAGGGACATGGTTAGTGAGCACGGTGGGATGGATTGATGGCTGGACTAGATGACCTTAAAGAGCTTTTTCAACCTTAATCATTCTCTGATTATCTCTTCAGTTTAACATTCTCATTAGACAGCATAAAGAAGATAGCAAGGAATGGCCACTGAAATCTAAGTTATGAAGAAAACAGACTTATGAGCCCTGAACTTTTCTTAAAGTCTCCACTTTTTCTTACAGTCTATATCCTAAGAAATTCTTTGGTGACTATGAAACAGAAATGCTGTCTGCTGAAGGTGTTGATGAGCCAGCAGCTTAGAAGAGCCCAGTGTGGCTCAGCACGATGAGCAGGATTTCAGGATGTGTTCTGACATCAGCCTCTCCTCTCAGTTTTTTCCAGGAATGTTTGAACACAACAGCAAAACTTAAGAAGTTCACAGAGGAGCTCATCCCGGAGCTGCAGAGCGTGAGTACTCACGTGAAGCAGGGTGTGCTGAGGGGAGCAGGGTGCAGAGCAGGGATGTCTGCCCCAGGACTGTCTCTCCCTCTGCAAAAGCAGATCTGCAGACTTCTGCATCAGTTGATTGTGGTTTCCTGAGCCTCTGATGCGCAATGATCCTTGAGGGGAAGGTTACGGTGTAATACCCTAGGGCACAAAATGGGAAGGAGCATGGCAATGGATACCAGAGGCATTAACGCGTTCAATTCTCACTATCCCAGCTGCTCCTCAGGCTTTCAGGTTTCTGCTCCTGGCTTTCCCTGCCCACTGCTGCCAACTGAAGCTCTTCACACTCTTCCTCAGGGGCTTTGCCTCTCTGCAGAGCTGTTCTCAGGAGCTGTGACCTTCCACTTTTTTTACTATGGGCTCTTGTGGTTATACATTGCCTGGAGACAGAAAGATGTTTTTCAAAACAGCAAAGCTGCTGTGGGACTTCAGAACCAGGCTGACCTCTGGTGGTGCCAAGTCCCCCATTCTCTGTAGAAGATCTGTGTTGCTTTCCCAGCATTTTCAGACCTCAGATCCGGGTTGCTCGGCCTCTGTCCTCCTTCGCCATATCCCTTGTAGTCTTTTGCAGAGGCCTGGAATGTGAACCAGGTTGGATGCTAGGAAAAATGTATTCTCTGAACAGAATGGTGATGCATTGGCACAACCTGTCCAGGGTGGTGGTAATAACAGCAAAAAGAGAATGCGTGTTGCCCTGGCGTGGGGTATCAGTGCACAGCATCTTCCTGACCCCTCATGCAAACTCCTTCCGTCCCCAAGCTCCTTCAGGGCCACACTCCTGCACCAAGACCCCCAGTGGAAATCAACTTTTTGTTGGCTTGGAGACCTTTAAATTACTGACAGTACCAAACTGGAGGAAAAAAACAACTGCAGTGACCTTCAAGCTGCTGGCTGTTTTTACACCACAGAGAGCTGCAGACAGCTGGTTTTTTTCCTCCAGTAAATAGCATGGTTACTAAATGGCATGCTGCTCTGCCACCTCCCACTCAAGGCTCCACGTCCCACGGGCCCATGGAGGTGGTGAGGGCTGTGGGGTGTGGGGGGGCCTCAGCTTCCGTGGGGAAGGCATGCAGCAATCTCCTCCTCCCCACGGTGTGCTCTCTGTGCCCTGCAGCTGAAAGTCAGGCAGGATGAGGAGAAGCAGCAGCTGTGTGCCCTTCGGGATCAGCTGAAGGCAGCATTGCAGCTGGAGCAGAGAGAGGTAAGAGCAGATTCTTCTTCCCAGCGTGCTGGTGGCCCCATCCTGCATGGAGCAACCTCTGTCCCAGTTGCTGTTACTGCCACCTGCTGCCATCCCTCTGCTTGCAGGACGTGGGGAGCAAGCAGGCCCGGTACAACATGCATCAGCTGCAGGGGAACAAGCAGTACGGTACAGAAAAGACAGGGACTCTCTTTAAGAAAAGCGATGGGTGAGTTGGGATTCAGCGTGTCCCTGTCAGCTGTGCTTTGGTCTCTCAGGGCCAGGGCAGGCTCACCCAGCCTGACCTCCTCTCCTGGGTTGGTGGCAAGGGCAGAGGAACAGGTTGAGGTGTGTGTGGCACTGTGGCAGCTGCCCATGGCCTCCCATGCAGAACTTCCTGGCTGAGGGTACTCCTATCCCATGGAGATGCCCAGTGCCCTCTGGACCTCTGCAAGTGCTCCTCATGGGTGGGACAAGGACTTCTATATAGGCTGGGCAGTGTTTTCTGCTCTGTTTCACTTCCTTTCCTCCAGCCTTGACCCTTCTTTGCCTTTCCACAGATCAGTGTTGGGCTCAGCTTCCTGCGGGAGATTTAGGGAAAGGAGTAGAAATGAGGGGTGGAGATGAGCATTGGAGATGGCATGGTGGACCAGAGGAAAAAGCCAGCAGGGAGCTGGGGCTCCCCTTGTGCTGCTTTGGACCTCGCCTATGCCCATGTCTGGCAGCCAGACTGTGAGCTCCTGGAAAGTGCACTGCTGTCACTGGACAGGGGACCTTCCACCAGTGCAGAGGAGCCTGTTTGCTGGGAATTGCAGGGGTCCTGCACTGGGAGGTGTGCGTGCCTGGAAAGGACCATCAACGGTCCTAGAAAAACAGGAAACCGGACAGAAAATCATGAACTGGAGCTCTGGAGTCTCCTTCATCACAGGCTGAAGTTCAGTTTCCCTTCCTTCTTTCCCTCACTTCTGTATGGTCTTTGAGGTGTTTGGAGCAGTTTGAAGATGACAGTTTTGGTTGTTTGCTGGGGACTCCAAGGTCTCAAAGGTCTGTGTGCTTTCCCAACAGGACCTGAGCCCCAAGCAGTGCTCTGTGCCTACATTGCCTCTGCAGCTGATGTGTGCTGCCTGTCTATACAAGCCCATCCTTATGCCATACAATGGGGTCCCATCAGACCATGAGTAACAGACTCTGGCAGCAGAGCCAGCGTGTCGCCTTGCACAGCTCTTGTACTCACTGGCATTGCTGCATGGATGATCTGCTCCTTTGCATGGCAGCCATGTGTCCTCTTGTGTCACCCTCTGCTCACTTCCAGGTTGAGAAAAGTCTGGCAGAAGAGGAAGTGCACTGTCAGCAATGGCTACCTGACCATCTCTCACAGCATGGTAGGAACTGCTTCTTCCACCCCCTGCTATCTCTGCCTGGGATCTGCTGCCCACCCCTGTTGACCCCCTGTTGCCCACCACGCTGGCAATTCTGGGATTCAGCAGAGCCCTCGTGCCTGGTGCTTGCACTGCTGGGCTGCCCTGCTGAGCCTGAAGTCTTTGCAATGTAAGAGACTAACATGGGAGCCCCCCACACCTGTGTGCACGGAGGGCAGCGAGCCTGGGGACCAGGGGATACCAGCATGGGATGGCTGTTGGGAAAAAAGAGGTCCATGTAGCTATTTCTTGCATTGCTCCCAAAAGCAGAGCTAAGGGTGAAGTGCTGGTGGTGATTGTCACTACTGGGCCATCACCCTTTCATAGAATCATTTGAGTTGGAGGGGACCTTAAAAGGTCATCTGGTCCAATTCCCCTGCAATGAACAGGGACACCTGCAGCTCCATCAGGGTGCTCAGAGCCCTGTCCAGCCTTACATTGGCTGTTCCCATGCTTTGATGCCATGAGGACTGAGACTTCCTTGTTCTCATAGTCCAACCGTCCTCCGGCCAAGCTGAACCTACTGACCTGCCAGGTGAAGCCAAACGTGGATGACAAGAAATGCTTTGATCTGGTTTCACGTGAGTGCTGCCACTCCCCTGCTGCTCCTCTGGAAAGTGCACAGAATGGCTTTGGTGTTTTGGGTTTAGAAAGTGAGCATGGGCATGGAGGAGGCAAAGCTCTGTGGCTTTGTATTGGACTGGGAAGCAATGCTGTGGGGTAGCTCTGCTCCAAAACAGTGGTGCACACTCAGGGCACAAGATGGGCACCACTGCAGTGTGGGCACATAGTTCCCATGTATCAGCTTAGCCAAAAACAGGATTCCTCTGCCTCACCCAGGAGCTTTGTCAGGGAAGCAGTGAGGAGGGGCTGGGTGGAATGAGGGGGCTGCCACCCTGCTGAGCCCAGCACATGATGCACAGGGGGGCATGGCCGTGTCTGTTTCAGACAACCGCACGTACCGCTTCCTGGCAGAGGACGAGCAGGACTGTTTTGTGTAAGTACTGTTAGCAAAGGGCAGCTTGGTGGGAATCAAAAAACATTCCTCTAGCTTCTGATGAGGAGCTAGCTTGTTGGCTAATTATGCAGCTCACTGCTGCCCTTGTTTGATCCCCTTTGCATCCCTGCTGCGCTATGATTGCTTTAGGGGCTGAGCAAGTCATGGAGGCTTCTGGTGCCCGTTTTCCTGCTGGCATCCTGTGCAGGGGCCTTGTGCTGAGGGGGAGGGGGGCCCATGCAAAGCCAGCTCCATGCCTCTGGGCTCTCTCCTAAGCCACTTTCTGCCCTTGCAGATGGGTGTCCGTCCTCAGCAACAGCAAGGAGGAGGCACTGAACGTGGCCTTCAGCAAGGTGCAGGGTAGAGGGGAGAGCAGCAGGGAGGAGCTGACCCGGGCCATAGTTGAGGAGGTCAGAAACATGCCTGGAAACAGGGAGTGCTGTGACTGCTTGGCCCCAGGTGAGAACCAGCTGCTTGCCTCCCCTCCCTGCTCCAGCAGCTCTCTGCTGCGTGTCCTGCTGTGCAGCTTGTGCTCTGCGTGGTGGAGAGGACAAGAGGGAGATGGACGTGACCCCAGCAGTGTTGTCTCTGCAGATCCCACCTGGCTCTCCATTAACCATGGCATCCTGATCTGCATTGAGTGCTCTGGGATTCACAGAGAGATGGGTGTGCACATCTCCCGCATCCAGTCACTGTCTTTGGACAAGCTGGCAACCTCTGAACTGCTGGTAGGATGCTGCTACTGTGCTCTGTCTGCATGCCTCCTTCTTTTCTGCTGTGGCCTTTCAATTAGTTCAGTGAGATCTTTCCCTCCAGAACCAAGCTGTAATTCCTGGAGTTTCATGGTTACTGTGGCAGGAATTGCCATCTTCAAGGAGACGAGGATGTCCCTTTGCTTTTCCTGAGTTGCTCATCTCTTCCAGCTTTGTCTCCTGGTGCAGAAGAGCTGCAGGGCAGGACCAAGCCCAAATCAGGGTTGAGCAGAGCATGGGGTGGACAGGAGGCTGGCGGCTTTCCTTGGCACTGTTTTAGCGTGTTCATGAATGAGAAAGGTTTGGTCAGTCCATGATGGGAGCTGCTGGTGTCCAGACAGGGAATGGGAGCACGCACAGGGGCATTGCTCACCCAGCTCCAAACCCGGGGCTCAGCTGTATGGCTGTACTGCTGGAGTTGGGACATCTCAGCAGTAGCAGTCAGTGCAGAGCCCCTGGCTCCTTGACATCTCTCCATACCTGGCCAGCACCTCAGCCCTGAGCTTTCTCTCCTGCTGCCACACATGCAATACAGTTGCATGTCCTGTATCACCTCTAGCTTGGCTGTTTTGCAGCTGGCGAGGAACATTGGCAACGCTGGTTTCAATGGCGTCATGGAAGCGAGTCTTTCCAGCTTCTCCCTGAAGCCCGTGGCACACAGTGACATGTGAGTTGCTCTGATGGAGTTGGTGTTTGTGGGCATGCTCTGTGGTCCTGCTTGCTCCTCACAGCAGCCAGGCACGTGGCACTGCCCGGCCTTCTCCCCAGGCTGCAACTCCTCTTTGGAATCAGTTTCATCAAGCTCAACAGGACAGATTTAAAAGAGACCAAAGGTGTGAGGAAGAGCCAGCAGGACAAGGGTCAGGATCAAGGAAAAAGGGCTGGAAAGGGGAAAGCAAAAAGAAAAACTGAAAAGCTGGAGCTGCCAAGCAGGACAGCTGTACTTGTGAATATCAGCAGGAAGGAAAGGGTGGGAGGATGGAGGGGACAGGGCAGAGCAACATGTGGGTGCAGTACAGATCACCATAGCTGGGGCTCAGAGCTGGTGAGCTCAGTGTAGGATCAAGCAAGGAAGGAGAGATGGTGAGAAAACGAGTGGTGGGCATCATGACATGCATGGCCAAGTTTCTTGTGACATAAGTGAAGAGAAGACAGCTCTGCAGACTTCCAGCCTGTGTTTTTAATTACTGTTGTGGAGACATATCTATTGTTGCATTTGCTATGGATGGAGGCCATAAAATCCTCTTCTGAGATAGCAGATGACTTTTTTGCTAAGGTAGTGCAGAGGTAACAAGAATTGTCTGTTCTCCTGTCTCTGGGTGGTTAGACAAAGGGTATCTGGCATGAAGGGACCTGGTGAGGAAGGAGGGAAAGACACATCATTCCTCCTGGGCCCTTTGCACCATGGCTGCAGAAGTAGTAGGAACTAGAAAGCAGTGAGACCATGATTCTCTCATCTGGGAGAGAGCAGAGCTGGCAGCTGTAGGACTTCTCAGGAGACACGAGCTCTGTTCCTCATCCTGGAGTGGCCCAGCTTCTAGAAGAGCATAGGGGGAGCTCAGGTGGTGGCTGGTACCAGCAATAGCTAGGGGCTTCTCCAGGACTTAGTGCTGCAAACATGAATTGGGCAGAGCTCTTGGGGGAGTCCTGTAGCCAGGGCAGTCATGGCCAGGGGGACCATCAGAGTCTGCAGAGGCTCAAGCCAGGGTACTTTACAGGTTTGTAAGTCCCAGTTGGTGCACTTTTTAGGCAGTGTGGATCTACCCTGCAGTAAGCAAGCAGACAGGTCAGGGCCTAGCACCAGAGAGCAGGGAGAGCTGGAAAATGCAATTGCAGGAGCAGATCAAGGTTGCCAGGTCCACCCCTGGACCTTTCACCACTGAGAAAACTGAAACCGCATGAAATAGTATTAATTCAGCTCTTCTGAAATCACCTTTGCTGTGAGAATTTGGTTAGTCCTGGGGCTCCTGCTGCCCACCAGATCCTCTATCTGGTCACTGCTTCTACTCACCTCACACTCTGCAGCTGGAGGACTTTCTTGGCCAGCCCTCTCCCAGAAGCTGCTGCTGATGATCCTTGGGTTCTCCCACCCAGTCATTATATGGTGATTCTTCAACATCTCACTGGGGAGCTGAATCCAATATAGAACCCTTCTCTGCCTGGAGAAGAGGTGATGGAGAGTATGGAAGTGTCCAGGAGACAGGGAGATGCATTGATGCTTCCCCGTTCCTCCCAGCAAGACCTTGGGGCAACAGAGGAAGGCAGTGGGAGCCCTGCTGGGAACAAGGATGGGAAAGGTGCTGCACTGCCTGGCAGGTCTGCAGGAGAAAAGAGGAAAGCAGCTGGGGCAGCTGGAGAGGAGGGGTGTCCCTGGATGCTTATGGGGTTGCTCTGTGGCCCCTAACTCTTGCTTGGTTCATCTCTGCCAGGGCCTTGCGGAAAGAATTCATCATTTCCAAGTATGTTGAGAAGAAATATGCCAAGAGGAGCCCTGCTGCTCAGTGCCCAAGCCTCCCAGAAGCTGTAAAGGGCAAGGACATATTTACTTTGCTCCAAGCTTATGCTGAGAACGTGGATTTGAGCAAGCCTGTGCAGGCACACCTGCAGGTATGGCACCTGGTGGAAGGCAAGGGACTGTCCTGGCAATGAGAAAGAAGCACCCTCAGTATGGGATGTCTTGGGAAAAATAGGCAGGAGAGGGGCAGATCTGTGTGAAGCAGCAGTTGTACACCCTGGTGAACTCCATGAAGTTCTGCTGCTGGACTGGGGGAGAAAAATCACTTTTGGTTACTGTTTCTAAATGTGAAATGGGGGTGAATGATTCTTCATGAAGCCATCACAAATACATGGGGAAGGTGTCAGGTAAAGGGCAGGTATTAAGAAGATGAGTGGCTAAGCCCCTGAGAAAAAGGAAGAGGCTATGTGAAGGACAAAGCAGAAGGTGAGGAAAGTACAATTAGAAAAGTTTTCCTTGAGAAACATGGCTCCATGCCTCTACATGTTTCCTAAGCTCTCCAGCCTTGGTGGTCGTGGCTCTGAAGAGGGACAGATCACACCAGCTCCTGTTCACCTCTTAGGGATGCATAAAGAACAGTTCCCAAAGGACAGAGCTCCTCCCTGTTGGTGTCATGATCTCATCCTGTTGCTGTTTCTGTTCTGTTACAGGAACCCGGGGAGACCATCCTCCACCTGGCAGTGCTGTTGTCTGATCGAACCTCTTTGCATATTGTTGATTTTCTTGTCCAGAACAGGTAAGCTCAAAATATCTGGTCAACTTGTCACAACCAAGTTGGTGTGAGTGAAAAGTGGAAGAGCGATGGGCTTCTCCAAAATGCTCCCAAGATAAGAAGTACCAGAGCAGGCATCCCAGCAAATGCGCCTTGGGGCAGACTTAGGGTGACCATCTCTAGAGCAGAGAGGCCTTGGCTGCCCTCATCACTGGGTTGAGGTGTGATGCTGGTGGTGGCCACCTCCAGTTGAGGTGGTTAGAGTGACACGTGGAGCAGCACTCGGCTGGGCCAGCAGCTCTGCTCAGTCTGCTGACAATATCCACCTTCTGCTGCAGCGGGAGCCTGGAAAAGCAGACCATAGTGGGGAACACGCCGCTTCATTACTGCTGCTTTCACAACAAACCTGAGTGCCTCAAACTGCTGCTGAAGGCCAAAGCCAGCATCATCACCAGTGAGTGGCCAGGGGATCCTGGAATTTTCTCCCTTCCCTTCCTCTTCCCTTCCTCTTCACTCTGACTTTGCTGGAGTGATCAGCAGGGCTTGCCTGCAGCTGGGGAGGTTCAGGAGAAGCAGGTTAATGATGGTGCTGGGGAGGCCTGCCCATAGAGTGACAGGCACTTAGCTCTTATTTTCAAAACCAGTGGTGCAATGCTGGAGCATGGGCAACAGGCCTGACAAAATGCTGGTTCAGAGGCAATGCGTGCTGGTGCTTTGGAGCCCAGGTCATAGGTCTGGTCATTCATCATGGCTGGGAGCGTCCTCTTCACAACACAGAAGTGAACTTTAAAGTTGGTTTCCTGAGTGACATGGAAGGTCACATATGTTCTCACCATCCAGTGGGAAGGCTGTGCTGAGCCATTCCTTCTTGGGCACTCCTTGAGTATGTTTCCCATAAGGGCAGAGGGACCCTGGTGGGATGGTAGGGACTGGGTACGTGTCCTTGTAGCCACATAGGAGTTGGCTGCCAAATTTCCCACTCCCTCAGCCACGTCAGGCTCAGCAGCACTTGACCCATCTTTACTGACTCTTCGACTCTTCTGGCTACCTGAAGCAACTCAAGGTCTCAGTGCAGGCCCTGTCACTGGTCTGGGGATGCTTTGTGAGCCCTAAGGGTGCAGAGTTCTTGCCCCTCCTCAGCCCCAGGATCCCCATAGCTGCGCATCCCTTATCAGCCCTGTGCTGCAGCTCCATAGACAGGGGCCTAAAATGAATCCAAAATAAAATGAGTGTCATGGTTTGTCTTCTGCCATACCCATACTCACAGGTGTGGGGTGTGCAGACAGTCTGCCATCCACCAGGCACCAGCACATATGTACCAGGTCTGCCCAAAGCTTCTTGCAGTGACTCAGAAGACAAGGGGTGTCAGCTATGGATTCCTCCTCTGCCCGTCAGCTTTGGGTTCTGTAGCATTTAGGTTTTGGCAGTGACTGTATTCTTCTGTCCTTCTCCCCTGTCCCATTTCTGTAAGCCAGCAGGATTTACCCATCTCTCCTTATCTATGTGTCTCATCACTCTTTCCCCCTTCTTTATCTTCCTGCCATTATCAATTTTGGCTTGAGCATTTGTTTCAGTCTGTTTAGGCTGTCCCTTCTTTTTCATGTGTTTGTCCCTAGAAGCAGCAGGTAGATCTGATGGGATCTGTAGGGTCTGTTGTCTTTAGTGCCGTCAGCACCCCTCTCCACCTTTCTGGTGTTTATTCTTCCTGCACTGCATATCCTCTTCTCTTTCCCCCTTGACTGTAGCATTTCTGCTGTGAGCCTGCAGGCTCCCCACATGCAGCACTGCTCTTCACTTCCCTGAGCAAGGTTCAAGGCTGCCTTTCCCCTCACAGCTAACCAAGCAGGAGAGACGGCCCTGGACATTGCCAAGAGGACAAGACATCACCAATGTGCAGAACTGGTAGGACACAGTGTCAGTTTTGGGACACATCCTGGCAGGAAAAGGCACTGCACAGATGCCTCGTGCAGGGTTATCCAAATCCTTCAGCATCATCACTTCTGGTGTGGGACACAGAGGAGGGTGCCATGGGGTCTGCTCTGGCCCAGCTGTCATGGGGTACCTCAGGGCTGGGCAGTTTGGGACAGGTCAGACAGGGGAACCTGAGACTGCACCAAGCCACACAGGGTGAGAGCATCTCCTTGGTGAGTCCAAGCCTTACTTTGGCCATGTCCCACTGTGTGTTTGGACAACTTTGCAAAACTCCTGGCCTGCTGAGCTGGCAGCCTTACATACAGTTTGTTTCCTCCATAACCAAATGGTCTGTCAGAAATGGGGCTGGTGCAGTGGGCAGGGCTGGCAGGTCCTGAGGGGGCTCCTCTGTGCCTCAGCTGCTACAGGCCCAGAACAATCAGTTCAGCCCGCATGTCCATGTGGAGTACGAGTGGTGGCTGGGCCAGGATGACATGTATGAGAGTGACGATGAGCTGGATGAGAAGGTGAGGATCCTCCATGGGCTCAGGTCCATGCATACCACCATTGGCCCTTCTCCCACCACACTGAAGTGGGTGCTCCTGTACTGGCTGATCACTCGTATTGGATACTGTAACTTACAAATATTCTTTCCAGCTCGGTCTTATGAAGAGGGGGTCTTCCTGTCCACAGAGCTGCTCCCAGCCTCCTGCCACCAGACCAGAAGCAGCAGGGGCAGTGCCTCAGGAGAGGCAGCCAGACACCTATGCCTTGCCACACACCCACCTCTGCAGCCTGGATGTGCCACCAGCCCCCTCCTACCCACCTCCCTTCCCTCCCCATCGGGCGAAGTCAGGTGAGATCCTGCGTGGGCTGATGGGGTGAGCTGCTGGGGTGAGCTGCTGGAGCTGTGCAGCATAGCTCCATCAGCAGAGGATAGGGCACTGATGAGACTTGTCTGGTGCTGTAGGGTACCCTTCTGTGCTCTTCTCCTCAAGGGGAGAAGGCTGACTTGTTTTCCTTAGTCCTGAGCCCTGCATGGCGTACCCTTACTCTTAGTGCCCCTATGCTGGCACTGTTAGGATGCACTGTTAGGATGCACCGTACGCTCCTGAGTGCTGCTGCTGGGACAGGTATGGGAAGGGAAAGCTGCCAGTAGGAAGAGTTCTGTTCCTTGGTCAGACTGCTCCTGCTGCCCTTGCCCAGACTTTCCATGATGTGTCCCAGCTCTGAGAAATGGAGGTCCTCAGTTCCTCGAGCTGTCCTGCTTTCTGGGAGACTTTCTAAGTCCTGCCTGACCACCTCTCCCTCTGTCACAGCTGGGGCTCCAACCTTACATGTTTCTCAAGTCAGACCTGCAAGCAGAGAAATAAATATTCTTGTCAATGCACAGTGCCGGTTTTCCCTGGAGTTTTGCTCCCGGGAGGTCTGCTTGCTACTGACCTACGATCCATTTGTGTTCCCTGTTTAGCTCCTGAAAGGACACGTCCACTTCTGACCAGCTCATCTGTCTTCGCTGAGGACACAAGAACCAGGAGGAGCCCATCCCTGCCTCTGAGCACCAAGCACAAGCGCACATCCTCAGATCCAGCTCCTTGGGTACCACTCAGCCCGGAGAAACCCATCCTTGGTCTGGTTTCAGGTAACAAACAAACTGGGTCAGGATCCAGGCTGTGCTATGGGGATGTGCTATGGGGATGGGCTGTGCTGGTAGAAGAAGGGCCTACTGGAGGTCTGCAGCTCAGCACCTGCTGAATCAGATTGGCCGTGGCTTTGTGCAGCCAAAGTAGACTGGGGGCACCTGGGAGCTGCACATCCCAGCTCCTACCACTGCCAGCTCTGCACTTGCTGCACAATGTTGCCCAAGAGTGGTGCTTGCTGTTGCCTACCTGTGATTAAAGGAAGGAAGTGGTGACCATCCTGCTTTTGCTGTAGGTGTCCCAATGGCCGTGGACTGCCTCTATGCATCTGTCTCCAGAAAAGCAGGACAACCTGGCCCACACCAATCGTCCCAAGAGTCAGATCCAAGTTCTGGAAGTGCCTCGGATCTCCCTCCTCCTCTTCCTCGGAGGGGCAGTTCGGTAGGTTGCCATGGGCTCAGCTCCTGGGCCCCTCTGCATTTACCACCTTCAGTTTTGAACTGAGTTGGACCCAGCAGCCCCTCCTCCCAGCCCCACTGCTGCTCCTCCCTGGCACTGACATTTCCCCACCAGATGCTGGGAATGCTCTGCATGGAAATGGCAGGTCCCTCCCAGTGCACACCATGCACAGGGATGATCGCTGTTATTTACTGCTAGCCAAAAGCCCTGTCATGCTCCAGTGTCTTTTGAGAGAAACCTCACTTATGAATTCAGGCCTTTGGCAGGTCAGACAGGGTACACTTCTGGACATGAGCAAGGGTGCAATGTCCTCTCTGGCCCATCCCTCTGCACTGCAGGGACTTCCCTTCTCCCCAGCCCTTTTGTTAGTGGCATCAATGCACTAAAGCCGTTATATTTGTGTCTGACAAAGCTGGTGACACAAGGGATAGAGGAGGCCTGACAGTGCTCTCTCCTGCTTGCAGAACACACTGCTGTTCCGCAGGGTCCGCGCTCTCTATGACTGCAGTGCTGACCGGGACGATGAGCTGACTTTCCACGCAGGCGAGATCATTGTGGTGTCTGAAAAGGAGGACGACAACTGGTGGGTGAGTGAACCTGGGCACAAACCATGGCACCTGGCTGCACACAGCTCCTCTCTCCATCCACCTCTTGCCCCTGTCCCGCGATTGTTGCAGCCGCTGTCGTCTGCTCTGCTTCCATCTCTCCACCTTTCATTTTCCCTGGGGCACAACCTCTTGCTTACATCTGGTCAAGCTACTCCAATATCCTCAAGTCCTGCATGGACCTCTCACCTCTCACCAGCTCTGCTGCTTTCCTCTCGCACTGCTTGTGTCCTGGCCATTCCCCTCACCCCATGGCAGCTTCCTTGCCCACCCCAACCTGACACTCAGCTATGGCTCATGTTGGCCATTTCTAAGGAAGTCTTCCTTAGATCCTCAGTCCTGGTATGAACCACACAGTGTGAGGAGAAACTCAACAGATTTCTATCCCCTATTGCACACAGCAGCAGTACACCAGGTCTTGCCCAGTTGGCCAGTTGATATCTCCAAAACTGGAACTTCTTTGGGCAGCTGTGATGGCATCTGCGGCTTCAGCAGAGAAAAAAGCCAGCGTGCCATGGTTTCCTTCAGACAATTGCAGACAGCAAATACAGATCTTTATCACTTGCTCATTGAGTTCCCCCAGGAAATCCTTGAAATTTGTTTCCACTGTTTTTCTTATAAACCGTACCTTCTTTGTAATTAGTTTTAGAAATAAGCATTTTTACATGCTGTAAATAAATTAGGAGTTCTAAAGGGGTTCACAACCTCTGAATCAGCCCCAGTTTCCCCAGTGTGCTGCAGGCTGTGGGTAGCACAAGCAAGTCCTGGGTTGTGGGGCAGGACATGGCCCTGAGCCCTGCTGCTCTGATGGCAGGTGAATCATGTTTGCAGGAATAGCAGGTTTAAAGATGTCTTTGTTGCCAAATAACCCCCATCTAAAAATGACACCTAAATTTTAACCCAAATAAGTTCAGATTCTCCATCCAGCCATCAAATGTGTTTTTATACTGGAGAAGAGCTCTTTCTCCCAGATGTTGATCTGGGTGATATGCAGCAGTCAAACCTCCTCTTGAGCTTCTGCTCCAAAAACTTTGTAGAAACCTCTTCTGTAACATCACCTTTCACAGTCTGTATGTTTTCTGCCTCTTCCTTGTCTTTCTGGTGTGCAGATATTGCCCATGCAGGGCACAGCTGCCCCAGTGCCATGTGTGGGTACTCAGTCCCTCTTCTTGCATACTGTTTCTCTGCTCATTCCTCTTTTTCTCCCACTGGCATTCTGCACAGCACTGTGCTCAATCTGCCAGCCATTGCTCTGACTTGCTCCCAGATGTGATGCTCAAGCAACTGCTCCATCCTCCCTAGGACAAGAGCAGTGCTCCTAGAGAGAGCCTCCAGTGAACAAGCCTGGTCCTTCACATTTCACTCAGGTGGCCTGGAGCGCATCTAGAAATTTTGTCTTCACCAGACCAGCTCTATTTAACAGCCTGGTGCAGTGCTGCATTGTATGACCCTTCGGGCAGCTAGAGACGTGCAGGAACATCCCCTCTGAGGGCGTCCCTGTATGGGAGGTGGTTCATGGAGTTTGGGTTCTGGGATGCGTGTCCTGGCCCAGAGGCAGGACTATCAGACCAACCAGCAGTGGCTGTAAAAGTACACTTTCTCATTCCCTGTGCCGTGCTCAACACTCCTTTTCTTCTCTTTCTCCCTGCAGAAAGGCTGGATTGAAGGGCAGCCCCACAGGCAAGGCGCCTTCCCTGCTTCCTTCGTTCATGTGCTCAATGAAGAGGAGCTGCTTTGATCTGGGAGGGAAGATGTCATCAGCTGCTTGGAATTTGAAACCCCCAAGCTCCCATCTGCATCCTCACTTCCAGCATCACCTCTCCTCCCCTGGGCCAGTGGTGCTGAGGCCCCAGAGCCCCACATACTGCAGACCTTGGGGCTGGGGTTTGTGGGTGATGTGTGCTGGCTGCCAGCAGATGCTCAACATACAAAAGAAGAGAATGGGGCAAACTTCAGTGCCCTGCCCTGAGCATGCTGCCTGTCCTGAGTGTTGTGGAGATGCGCTGCTGCCTTGCAGGGCTGCGGAGCTGTGAGTGGAGCTGTGCTGTTGTGCAGAGCCCTGGGTTGGAGGCTTCTGCTGAGGACAGAGCACAGTGTGAGCCTGGAAAGACAAATGTCTGGTGAAGCCTGCAGAACAGAGTGTTCATGCCATCCCTGCTGCCTGCACTGGGTTTCACTGCTGGTGCTCCAGAAAACCTGCTCTGTGGCAGCTTAGGTCATGGCTCCAGCAGCATCTGGCTCTAGGAGTGATGGAGAGGAACTCTGAGCCCACTGCCAGTAAATCCCAGGGCTTCGGTGCTTTGTGTTGTGCAGGGCTGTTCTGCTTTGTGTTTCCATCTCCATTTCTCCTTTTTCCTTTTGGCGTTCTTCCTTCAGCGTCCAACATCTTCAGGTGAAATCACTCATGGTTCAGCTTACACAGCTTTTCTCCAGGGCCTGGCACATGTCTCAGTCTTCTTCCTGAACCAAAATCCTGTCCAGGTGTCATAAGGAAACCAAGCACTGGATGCACCAGACTGTAGAATGGAAGTTGAACCACCCCAGCACGATTTACAGGGTCAAGAGGGCAAGGTTGTGCCTGGCAGCTTCTCCCACCCCCGGTGTTATCAGTCAGATAGGATCTAACCTTTGTATAAGTCGTCAATGTGTATCCTTAGATACAACAAATATGTGCTTTTGCCTCGGTTAGGGTGACCATCCTTGAAGCTGTTAAGGAGCTCTTAATCACTCTGCAAGGACTGAGCTTGTCTTTGAAGATAGGAGCACCTTAAGAAAAGGTAGTTAAGGTAGCTAGCCCGCAGGAAGGGAGATTAGCCCTGTCTTTAACTGACCAGTTGTAGGCTGGATGCTGTATGAGGGTTGTGGTCAAGTGATAAAAATATGCATTAAAAAGTGTCACGAAATCTTGGAGTGTGCTAGTTTTGTGGGAGACACCCAGCACTTCCACAACCTTGCCATAAATCCATACCTGTGTGAATGAGATCGGCTCACTGCACAGCCCTCAGGGGTCCGCCTTTTGGACAACAGTCCTCTGGAAAGCCAATGGCATGGCCTCACCTCGCCAGGATCCACTTTCTGCAGCAGGGAAGGAGTGGGGGACTGGTCAGACAGTGCACAACACTGGCCTTTTGGCTGGGGACTCCATTGGGTGCTCATCTCTGCTTGGGTGGTGACCCTGAGGACAACGCTTCGATCGAGGTATTGACTTGATGGTGTCAGGGGGAATAAGAGGCTTTGGTTGTTGGGTTTGGTTGTTTTGGTTGATGACTGGCCAGCATTTGGTGTCTGTGTTTGGTCGTACACATGGCTGCCTAAGAACGGAGTGTATGCAGCCTTGGGGAAAGACTTTTTTGTTGGAAGTATAGGGACCAGTATAGGGACCAGTATAGGGACCATTCCCTCCTCTGAGATTCTCCCTCATTCACCTCTGGGATCCCTAAAACACTGGGAGACATTGGGTGGGGATCCCTTGAGTATTAAAAAACTGAAACATTACTGTGGATAGAAAGGACGATGGGAGAAAAGTGTCTGGAAACGGGAACCTTGAATTCTAAGACAGTACTTCAATTATTGTTATTTTGTCACCATGTAGATAAGTGGGATGAAATTCTGTGTGTTAACTTGTTCTTTATGTTCTGAAACGATGCTGCAAGGCTCTGTTCTCTGCCCCAACTTCCCTTTCCTGCAGCAGTCACTGAGTTCTGCAGTGTGTGGGAGTGTCACCTCCTCCCGGCGCTGCTCAGAGCCACTGAGTGGCCCTTATGACAGCTGGGTGTCCCAGCATTCCTCCAGCCCCTTTCCCATCTCTGGGGCTGGGGAACACTTGGAGATGTCACTTAGGGCTGAGTGAGGGCAGGGACAGATCTATGGCCACCGCTGCACCTGGTGCTGTGGCTGCAATGCAACCTTGGGCCTGGGCAAGCCCCAGAGGTGCACTGGGGGGCTCTGTGCCTCCGCCTCGGCTGCTGGGAGGGGCGCAACCCGCCTCGGTGGGCTCAGTGCTGGAGGCCTTGGGGACACAGCGTTTGGCAGCCAGCCCAAAGGAAAGCAGCCTCGTTGTTTTCTGAACAGGAGTGACTTTGCTTCCGCCACGCTGGCAGCACTTCCTTCCCCCAGAGCTCACACTGGTGACATTTTCGTTCTTCCCAGGAGAACTGCTGCAACTGCTGTGGCCGCCCAGGACCGGCCCAGCCTCTTTCACTTCACCCACGTCCCACACCTCGCACCACTGACAGCTGGAGCAGTGGTTCTGCTGCTGGACACGTGCAGGTATGTCTGTATCCGTTATACAGAGGGGAGACAGAGTGACCCACGTCCATCCCAGAGCTGCCTGTAAGAGGTCTGGGGGGAGCATGGGGAACCCCGTGAGGGTGGGAGGGGCTCTGTCCTGCTTTCCCAGTGCAGTGGGGAAACTCCAGTCCCGAGTAGGGGTTGTCCCAGCATCCTGCTGTCAGCCTGCCCGGGGCACCAGGCTCTGAGTGCTGAGCACCTTGTGGCTATAACAGAGCTCTTGTTGCTCTGACTTTGGCTGGATGTGAGTGCTTTCAGCTGGCAGACAGGAAGGCCATGCTCAGCTCGGCGTTCTGACAACAGACAGACAGACAGACATACAGACACAGACAGACACAGACACGCACACAGACACACACACACAGAGACATAGACACACACGCGCACACAGACACACACACACACACGCTGCGGTTCCACCTCCCGGCAGCGACGCGGTGCCCCTGGGAGCCACGGAGCGGAGGCTGCGCAGTGCCTGCGCGGTCGGGAGCGGCGGGGAGGGGGTGTGGAAGGCACGGGAACCGCGCGCTGAAGCGGGGGGCCGGAGCAAAGATGCTCCGCAGCTCGCCCATGGGCCGGGTCGCAGTCGCCGCGCTCGCAGCGGGCAGAGCGCGGCACGCAGAGCAGCACGTGCTGCCGGCCCTGCCCTGCCCTGCGCTACTGCGGCGGTGCCGGGAGCAGAGCCGTAGGGCCGCGGAGCTGTTGGGAAGGGAAGCCCATGCCGGGCTGTCTCAGGTCTGCGGCGGGGCAGTGCGCAGCGGGGGGGGCAGCGGGCCGTGCAGGGTTCTGCTCTGCCCACGGTGCCACCGCCCTCCTGCTGCAGGTGCTATGAGGGATGCGCTGCCGGAAGCGCACGCTGCTGGGGCTGGCCCTGTGCCTGCCGCTCGGTCTGTGGCTGTTGTTCCGGGCCTCCGTGTCCGGCCTAGGCCTCTCTCCGTCCCTCCCCACCGTCAGCTGCACCGCCAGCTTCAACGCCTCCGCCTGGTTCAGCGCGCGCTACGATGCGGCTGTGGGGCCTCTGCTGAGCGGCCCGGCCCACGAGCTCTCCCCGGACGTGGTTCACTGGTGGCTGGTGAGTGGGGCTTGGATCTCTCCCGGGCTCCTTATGTCTGCCGGCAGCAGGTTTTACGCGCCCATTGCCCCCCAGCCTCCCCCACCTCACCCGGGCAGGTGAGGGGCTTCGCGCCGCAGGGGCTGACGCTGCCCGTCCTTGCCTGTGCTCCCCCAGACTCTGCAGGGCCCCTCCAGCATCGCCCCGCTCCAGGCCATCATCCGGAAGCTCTTTGCTGTCCTCCCGGCCCCCAATGGCAGCGTGTGGGACCCGTCACGCTGCAGGACGTGTGCCGTGGTGGGCAACTCGGGGCGGCTGAAGGGGTCCCGCCATGGCCCGCAGATTGATGCCCACCACTGGGTGCTGAGGTGGGTGTCACCAAAGGCTCATGTTCTCTTTTCCCTGCTGGCCGGGGTCACCTGGTGCTCCTGCTTGGCAGCTCAGGGCCCCCGTGGTGTGTACCTTCATTTTGGGACGTGCCTTCCCGCTGTCCCCTAGGATGAACAGAGCTAAGACAGCGGGCTTTGAGGTGGATGTCGGTGCGAGGACAACCCATCACTTCATGTACCCCGAGAGTGCGATGAACCTCTGGCCTGGTGTCCACCTTGTCCTCGTCCCCTTTAAGCCACTGGATCTCAAGTGGGTGACCAGCGCCTTCTCCACAGGAGAGCTCACACAGTGCGTCACCTCGGCCATCCTGGTGCTCTGGGAACAGCTGCTCTTGTTGGAGAGCCGGGGGCATGGGCTGGGGGACGAAGGGCTCAGAGGACTCTGGCATCCCACAGCACTGCAATTTGGGGAGTCTGCCCCCACAGGGCTTGGGCATCCTGCAGCCCCATACCCTCACGAGTGGGATGGAAGCTGTCCCGGCTGTGCCTCTTTGCGGGGCCAGGCCATGGGACACCATAGGGTCAGCCCAGGGAACTGCGGGTGCTGTGGCAGCAGGTGCTGGTTGTTGCAGCAAACCATCTGCCTCTGAAGGAGAACTCACAGCTGTCCTCTGGCTTTTGCAGCACCTACACAAGAGTGAAGCAGTTCATCAAAGCTGACAGAAACAAGGTAAGGGCTGGGCAGGCATCCAGCAAGCACTCCCTGCCTGAGAACTCAGTGCTGGGGCTGTGGGGCAATGGGGGTCAGGGGCTGAGGGCCACCAGTAACTTGGAGTGGCTGTCAGATGTGGGGTGGCCCTGAAAGCATCCGCAAGGCAATGTGGGAGCTGCTGCAAAGCTCTTCTTGGTCAGACTGGGTTCATTCTGTGGGAAGGCAAGTGGGGTACGGGCAGAGTTGGGGGACAGTGGTCCACAGTGGTGGTAGGAGCTGGCTGTCCTGATTGCAGCTTATCACGCCTCTAACCCCAATCAGGTGCTGATCCTGAGCCCAGCCTTCCTCAAGTACATCCATGAGAACTGGACGGAGCACCATGGCAGGTACCCCTCCACCGGCTTCACAGCGCTGCTCTTCGCCTTGCACGTCTGCCAGCAGGTGAGCACAGCCTGCAGCACCACACACTGCTCAGCCCCGTGGGCACCACCTGGAGCTTGCCACCACTGCTCCACACATGGGGAGGTGGTTTTTCTTGTGGCCATGCAGGATTTCCTTTGCTGCAGTGTCTACCACCCACTGGCATTTTGCCACCTCTGGCTCCAGCTCCCGTTTCCCTGGTGCATTATCTTGCACTAGATGCAGCATAGTGTGGGTGGGCAGTCATGGCCCTCAGCTGCTGGCCACCCTCTTGCTGGGGGAGCCCAGATGTGGTCAGCCTGGCTGTGTCACCTCATCCTCACCTGGGCCCTGGTGCTCTGTGCCTATAGAGCTTCTCCTGCCCCGCTCCCCAGATGCAGGACTGCACATGGTGGGTACTCACCTTGGGTCGGCCGGCCGCCTGTGCAGTGATGGCTCTGCTGGCATGCCACAGGTCTCCGTGTTTGGCTTTGGGGCCGACAGCAAAGGGAACTGGCATCACTACTGGGAAGAAAACCGCTGGTCTGGAGCCTTCCGCAGAACAAGGGTCCACGATGCTGATGTCGAATTCAGCCTCATCCAGAGACTGGCAGCTGAAGGCAGAATATTATTCTATCAGTGACATGCACTCAAGAAACGAGGCCAAGCCGTTAGCACAAGAACCGGCGGCTGCAGCAGCTCTTTAGCTTGCTTCTGCCCCTCGCTGGCTGGGGCAGCCTACGCTTGGTGTGTGCTGTGCTGGTCCCACCAGCTCAGCACGGCGGACAGCAGTGAGCATGAATGGCAGTAGAGCTCTGCTAAGCCTGAGAGATACCTGCTGCAGGTCTTGGTCTTCTCCAGAGAGGACACAGAGGGGCAGGAGGGGGGCAAACCCCGTGCTTTCAGAGCCCTCAGTTCAGGTGCTACACAGCAGAGCGGCTGTAACTGGATGGTGCACACACAGCCAAGTGCCAGTGCAGCTCTCAGGGGATGGAGCTGAGATGTCCACCCTCTGATGGCACATGGAGAGATTCTTTGGGCAGGCGGAGAGTCTTAACAGAACTAAGGAATATATTTTTATATTGCACCAAAGGAGAGTAAGAAACGAGAAAATGAAGCGCGCTAAGTCCGAACGCAGCAGAAATGAGTACAGCTGAAATGATATGTTGAATAAACTTTGACAGCACATAAAGGTCTACTGCTAACGTTTGTTTTACTTTCTGAGCTCTTGCTGCTCTGCACGGCTGATCGCAGACCCTGACGCCCTCCTGACCAGGGATGGGAGCCATCACTGCCCCACACCTCACTTTTTTTGCTGGTGCTGGTTGTTCAGCAAGCATGATGCAAAATTCAAAAGCTGCAGCCAGTCCAAGCGGATGCTACTAAAGCAGTTGCAAAGGCAGTAGGTTTTCAGATGTTTTCTGAGGAACATGCCAAGCATGGGGCTGCTCAGAGCCCTGCTCCTCCATCTGTGCCGCAGAGCGCAATGACCAAGAGAGCAGCTTGTTGTTTCCTTTCAGTCCCAAACACCACTGTCCTTGAATCAGATCCAGCTTTTCCACGCCTGAATCATACTGATCACGTGGAAAAGCACCAGATCAGTCACAAGCTCCCATTTTAACTGCAGGAAGACATTACCACTCCCTAAGCTACTAACTTCATCTGATTCCTGCCTCTCCAGGCAGAACCCCCATTTCTGTACCTGTTTTCTGTTTCTCTTTTCCGGAGCCTTCAGCAATTTCTATGCAGTTGTTCCAGTATTCCAGCATGGAGATTCATCACACACCTTATCCACACATCCAACTGCGCCCAAGTTTTTGTATGATCTGTTTCAAAGCTCTCTTTAACTAATTAAAAACAAGCTTCTGCTTACAAATTGATGGTATTTATCCTAAAGTTCTATCTTAGTTTAAAGCTTTCCCCCTGCATCATTTGATCCTGTGCCTGCTGTGCTCATACTGCACTGTGAACTGTGCCAGTCACTAAGTGCAGAGTAAACACCAAAGCCAATTTAGAGCCGAGATTAAGAGCACCGAGTCTGTGTTCCTTCAAACTGAGGCAGGAATCTGTAATTTTTAATTTCTCCCTTATTTTCAAGTTCCTCTCAGAATGATTTCACATACACTTTACTCGCTTGTGTAGGTCACAATCAAGAAAGAACAGAATTCACCATTATTGCCACGCTTTGCCACAATGCAGGTAGTTTTTATTATAATTTCCAATTCAGGATTGGCTCAAATAATTTAATGATTCTTCCAAATGCCTTACCCAAACACACAGGATGGACTACATTACAAAACAGAGACAGAGGGGAAGTGAAAAACACAATCCAATTTAAAAATTAGTTAAAATGCCAAGCTTTTTTTTCTTTTCTCATCCATACATCAGCTTGCATCTCTGCTAGGCAGAGCAATCTGAGCCAAATGCGGGACCACAGGGAACAGAAGCACACCCTGAACGCCACGTCCCTCCCCACCGCCCCGGGCAGCTGGAAGGGAAGCACACGGCACTCAGCACGTTTTCACAGAGGTCTGGCATACAGCATCAGCACATTCCGAAATATCTGTGGGAGCAATTAAAAAAAAAAAGACAGATGGTGTTGTCAGAAAGGTTTCTGATGACAAATTCGATCCACTGCAGATCTGACAACACAGTACAGTTATTCCTGAAGTATCTCCAGCAGCTTTTGCAGGGGGCAAACTGGATGAAGACGGACTGACACAAAAGGGTTTTTTCAGTAGGGTCTGCACAGCCAGACGAGATGGCTAAAGTCACGTCACAGCAGCAAGGTTTGAGCAGTTCCATCCACAAATTAATGCCAAACAACGGATGATGAGACATGAAGAGCAGTTGGGGCCACCTGGTAATTCCAAACCTCACGTGCACTTGGAGGATCACACGTATTTTGTAAAACCTGTTTAGTTCTCCTTACAGTTTTTTGTCTGTGTGCGGTGAGGTCATTGTTTATATTGTCTTCCCAAGCTCAATTTTCTTCTGGATGGCACGTGCTGAGTGATAAATCAGGGAGTCGATGAATCCTGCAACTAGAAGGAAAAACGAGATCGAGCCAGACGAGCCTCAAATACAGAGATCTCCCACAGCAAGAAAAGCCAAATCCTTCTGTCAGCAGCAGGAATTCCAGCTCCCTCTGACAGAAAGCAGCTGCTGCTCAGAAGACCCACATCCACATCTCATTAGGAGAGATGAGATCCAGCCTGCAGGGCAGAGGTGGCCGTGGTTATCTGGAAAGCCATGTCTCAAAGAAGAAAAGATGAGACAAAGACGAGCCACGTTTGCTGGCAGGTGAGTGAGGAAGGTCTGGAGAGGAAGCTGATTCTGAGAGCTTTGTGCCATTCTACTGCCCTGACCAGCTGGCCAAGGGAATGCTTCCCTTTTGCTATTTCACAGCAACCTCAAAAGCAAGCTGTTCTACCTGAGAAAACACTTGCGGCCCTTCATGGACACCCTTTGTAGGAGACGGCAGCAGTTTACCCCAAATCTCTCCCACCAGTGCACTGAAGGGACCTATTAACTGTGCTTGTTTGGGAGCAGAGAAAAGCTCAGAGTGGGTCTTCTGCACCACAGAATCCAGACTACCCTGCATCTGTCACAGTGGCTTCCACAACCAGGCACTCTGTCTACTCCCTCCTACCCAAGAGAACACGGAGCCAGTAAACAAAGATATTTTCAATGCCTTTGTGAAACTTAATGTTCCCGGGGAGTTTTATTTATTCAGCACTTCCAATCTAAGAAATAAGTGGTTACTTGGCCCTACATAAACAGACATTTTAATACTGGAGTAGCAGTAGATAGGAATAGTGGACAGGAATTGATTACTCTTCCAATCTTGCTATCTGGTCTTTCAGTAACACCCTGATGACTATCTTCTGCCCTGAAAATACTTGTGAAATCAATCTGATGCTGTGACAAAGACGCTGTCAGGCAGCTGATTTGATCTGTCCTCCAGCATAAAGTCTGACCACAGTGTATGGCAGCAGACAGCACGAAGTGCTTGTTAGCCCCAATCACTGACAGAGGAAACTTGAATTTGTCACAGTGAGTTTAAAAAGCCTTTGCCTGAGTTAGGCATGAAAACGATCATGATCAAATAAACGTGCTGCAGACAAATCCTGTTTAATAGACAGCAACCTCAGTATCAGGTTATCCAAGTGTGATGTAGCAGATACAGGTGTTATGGAATGCAGGGATACGATACAGAGTGGCTGGACTCCTACAGAGCTTCTAGCACAGCAAAATATGCTGCCCTCATCTCCATGAGAATGTCTCCAAGTGTTTCAGGGCACCCTGGGTTATCAGCTGGACCAAGGCTGGGCTCTGTCATGTGCATGGAACTGAGTAAATGCTATTCCAGAAGCCAACACCGATGGCAAAGTCCAGAGATGCAAACGGTTCCGCACGAGCAGCCTCTCCTCAGGGAGCCCAGGAGCTGCGAGGGCCTCTTTTGGGCCCTGCAGAGCATTCAGTGGAGCTCCTGTGTCTGGGAACACAGTTGGTGAACTCTGAGATGGCTCTGCCCGTGGAGACCTCATTTCAGAGATGTTATGGACTTCAGGTCAGCATGAAAGAAACCACCTGCTTCCAGAACCAATCTGGCCAGGAAAACAGCACAGATACATTTAAATGGCAAATGAAAGAGTGCATTATTTGAAAACAAAATGTCTCCCAGAGCATCAAAATGAAATACTCCCACAGCTCTGCAGAACATCTGTATTGCCTCCTGAAGGCTGAAGTCACCTTTCCCCAGCTACACAGAGTTAAGAAAGAATAAGATGGCAAATAATCAGAGAGAAAAAGGATTTAAAGATGCAGTACCTGTGAATATGCCACCAACAATGGCACAAACTCCTGTGAGGAAGTGTGTGAAGGGCCTGGAATGAGGAAAACAATTTAAGAAACCATCATCAGCTCTGATACCAGTATGACAGATAAGTAACCATCAATACAAACTAACTCATAATTAACATTATGTTAATCGTATTACATAAGTATGCATTATATAAGCATTAATAACTGACAACAGATTTAACAACTGAACAACCCTTACTGGCTACAGGATGGAGTTCATCACTGAAATGTTACTGAGAAGCACCACTGCATTCAGTGCATTTACATGAGCTCAGTGGCAACCCAAGGAGGCACATACTGAACTTACAAACCCCAAAGAATGGGCTTCTCATCCCTAAGATTTCAGCCTCTTTTGATCAGCAGAATGCACATCAGGCTGCTGTACAAGAAAAACAAAATCCCTAAACGCATATTGACACACTACAAGGCATAGAAAAAGCTGTGCCTCATTATGATCCCAAAAGACTGGGTAGCTACAATCCCTTCTGTCTCCCTGTAATTGCAAGCCTGTGATTAAATGAGAACCTGGAAGGAACAGGTTCCATGCTGACTACAACGTGCAAAAAAGCTACTGCAAATGCAAAGTGAATAGGCTGGATCAAAGTGGGTGGCTCTATAGGTGCTGGTGAGATGTTCCAGGACAGTGAAAATGGTAAAGTTGCATTTGTATCTATTCATCATATTGGCTTTCCTCTATAAAATCAGACTTCCTATTAAAAAAGACTTTGAGGAAATCAGACTGAACTGAATGCCATCATACCAGACTTCTGCACTTCTCCATCCTGATACTGCATCAAACCCTTCCAGGTAGTATGAGACAACCCCAGATCCCATCCCTGTCAGATGTTCACAGTGAAAGGAACTGTATCTGGGAGCGTCCCATTCCCTCTGCTGGTTGTGGAGGGGTCTGGCTGACTCTCAGGCATCTGCAGCTGTGTTTTAAGCTATGTGAAATGACAAAAATCAATGCAAGGGGAATGAAATACATTGAAATGATTCTTACCTGTGTTTCTCCGTCAGCTTCACCATCATGGGTGATAGTTCATACAGCACAAACACACCAGGCAGACCCTGGTCTCCTATCAGCCCGTTGGCTATTTTCTCGTGTCGTGTAACTGAAAACTGGTTCGTCCTTACCACCTGGAGGAAACATAAGCAGTAAGCATCACTTTGTTAAGAGGGAATATGGAAGGCTACTAAAAACATGAGTTCAGTGAACAACATCACCGTTGCTGTGGGCCCCTCTCTTGTGGGCTCATGACAGTAGTCACAGTTGCAAGAGTCATAATCAGCACCAGCAGAATTCAATCTAATTTTACTATTATT